GCCTCCATCACTCTCACGGGACTTCCTGTCCCTTCGAGACCAGGGCTGGAGTGTCTCTACTTGGTGTTGGGCGACCGAGACAGATTGGGGATTCTGTTGGTGTACCGTGCACCCTTCTGCCCAACAGTCTCCCTGCCTGAGCTGACGGAAACGGTCTCGGACCTGGTGTTGAGGACCCCCAGGATGCTGGTCCTGGGGGACTTCAATATCCATGCCGAGGCTAGTTTGACCGGGGCGGCTCAGGACTTCATGGCTTCCATGACGGCCATGGGGCTGTCTCAACATGTCACCGGCCCGACCCATGAACGTGGACACACTCTGGACCTGGTTTTCTCGACGGGGCAGGAAGAGGGTGGTCTGAGGGTGAGGAATTTATGCTTGACTCCCCTGTCATGGTCAGATCACTTCCTAGTGAGGTTTGTGCTCGAGAGCGACATCTCCCTCTGTAAGGGTGCAGACCCGATTGTGTGGGTCCGCCCCCGGAGCCGGATGGATCCGGAAGGATTCCTGAAGGCTCTGGGGGAGTTTCCGGCTGACAAGACGGGTGCTCCTGTCGAGGCTCTGGTTGAACTGTGGAATGGGGAGATGACCAGGGCTGTAGACACGATCGCTCCTAAGCGTCCTCTCCCACCGGGCAGAGCCCGCTCTTCCCCTTGGTACACTCCAGAATTGAGGGCAATGAAGCAGGTTGGGAGACGGCTAGAGCGTAGGTGGAGGAAATCACGTGATGAATCTGACCGAACACACTTAAGAGCCCACTATCGGGCCTATGCTGTGGCGGTGAGGGCGGCGAAAAAGAGACACTTCTCCGCTTCCATTGCCTCCTCACAATGCCGTCCGGCGGAGCTCTTTCGAGTGGTGCAAGGCCTGGTTCACCCAGGGCCAAAGGAAGAGCTGATTCCACCCTCAAAGGCCCGCTGTGACGACTTTGCCGAGCATTTTAGGGAGAAAATCACTCAGATTCGTCACGAGCTGGATTCCACTATTGATTCAGAGGTTTTAAGGGAGACACCAACGCTGCCGTCTGGTCCAGAATTATTGGATGAATTTCAGTTATTGCGGCCCGATGATGTGGACAAGGTGCTTGGACGAGTACGTCCTACCACTTGCCTTCTGGACCCTTGCCCGTCTTGGTTAATAAAGGATTCCAAGCACGGGATTGGAACCTGGATCTTGGAAGTGGTTAACGCTTCTCTGAGGGAGGGTCGGGTGCCTGCCCCTTTAAAGGAGGCGGTAGTCCGACCGGTCCTGAAGAAGGCGTCACTGGATCCAGGGATGGCTGCTAACTATAGATCAGTGGCCAACATCCCGTTTCTGGGCAAGGTGTTAGAGCGAGTGGTGGCGGGACAACTCCAAGCACTCTTGGATGAAACTGATTATCTGGACCCTTTTCAGTCTGGCTTCAGACCCGGGTACGGTACTGAATCTGCCTTGGTCGCCCTGTACGATGACCTGTGCAGGGAGAAGGACAGGGGGAGTGCGTCCCTGTTGGTTCTCCTGGACCTCTCAGCGGCTTTCGATACCATCGACCATGGTATCCTTCTGGATAGGCTGGCGGGATTGGGGGTCGGAGGCATCGCTTTGCGGTGGTTCCGCTCCTATCTCAACGACCGATTCCAGAAGGTGGTGTTGGGGGACTATGGCTCTGCGCCATGGCAGCTTTGCCATGGGGTACCGCAGGGTTCCATTTTGTCCCCTTTACTGTTCAATATCTACATGAAACCGCTGGGAGAGGTCATCAGGAGGTGTGGGCTGCGGACCCATCAGTATGCTGATGATACCCAGCTCTACCTCTCGTTTTCCACCAATCCAGGTGAGGCAGTGGCTGTACTGAACCGGTGCCTGGCCGAGGTAATGGGCTGGATGAGGGCCAATAAACTGAAGCTCAATCCAGACAAGACGGAGGTCCTGTTGGTTGGCAGTTCGGGCTTCGGAGAAGGTGACCTGAACCTTGTCCTGAATGGGGTTGCACTCCCTCCTAGGGACAAGGTCCGCAGCTTGGGAGTGCTCCTCGACCCGGAGCTTTCACTTGAAGCTCAGGTGACAACAGCGGCGAGGAGTGCTTTCCTCCAGCTTCGGCTGATTCATCAGCTGCGCCCCTACCTGGAGTACGACTGCCTTGCAACAGTGACTCATGCGCTGGTGACTTCCCGTCTTGACTTCTGTAACGCGCTCTACGTGGGGCTACCCTTGAAGACGGTCCGGATACTTCAATTGGTTCAGAATAGAGCTGCCAGGCTGCTGACGGGGACTGGACGTTATGTTCACATGACGCCAGTTCTCCGTCAGCTTCACTGGCTCCCCATTGAAGTCCGGGCCCAATTCAAGGTGTTGGTAATGACCTATAAAGCCCTAAACGGCTTGGGTCCTGGTTACCTGAAGGAGCGCTTACATCCATATTTGCCCAGTCGCCCCCTGAGATCGGCGGGAGAGGCCCTTCTCCGGGAGCCCTCTGTGAGAGAAATTAGGAGGGTGGTTACTCGGAGAAGGGCTTTCTCAGCGGTGGCGCCTAAGTTATGGAATGCACTCCCCAGAGAGGTCCGCCTGGCGCCGTCGTTATTTGTTTTTCGGCGCCAGGCTAAGACCTTTTTATTTAAGCAACATTTTAAATGCTAAATACAATTGAATTTTATCTGGCCAGGGCGGCTTATTTTATAATGTGAGTTTTAATTAAGATTATTTTATATGGATTTTAACTTGTTTTATCTATGTTGTAAGCCGCCCCGAGGCTTCGGCGAATGGGGCGGCATAAAAATGTTTTAATAAATAAATAAATAAATAAATAAAATAGCTACTGATAATGATATTTACCTGTTTCACCTATCTTGGAGGATGCTGAGTTCCTGGAGCTGTCCAACGTACTTAATAAGACTTTTGTACCCACTGTTTGTGTTCTGGCTGTTGTCTCCAAGTTATAATATCATTCTCCATGCCCTTGGGTTGCCTGTGTCTGAGATGGCCCAAGCGACTTGCTTTTTACACCACTCACAGAAGCAAACCGCGGGAAATCTGTTTGGCTTGTCTTAAAGAGGAGTCGAGAACTAATCTTCCTCTTCTCATTTTCCACAACAAAGGCTGTTTGATTTGCAACAGCAGCTGCCCAGTGTGCAACAAATTGGGGGGGGGTGTTATTGGTGGAATATTTACTGAACTGAAGGCAACCAAGTTTGGCTCTAACTATGCTCTTTGAGAAAATCTTTCAAAGAGGAGAAAAGCACCTGCAATAGGAACCACCACTCTTGTAGAAATGCCAAAACGCACAGTGTTTTAACTCTGTTTATTTGAATCTTTGTTTTACTGCTGCTAGCAGCTTTGAATGCATTTTTAATGTAAAAACATAGATCATATAAATAATCTTTGGTTGGATTCCAGCTAAGATGTGAGTAGGGGGAAGCAATAGCAAATTATAAGCTCTGCTTCTATATCAGTAGATGACATTTTAGAAAAGGTGTGCATGTGCTACGTGAAAGTAAAAGCAAAATGTGTGCAACTTTCACTGATGATTTTATGTCATATCTGAGTTCAGAAAATATATATATATATATACACCTGCAGCTCAGGATAACACTTCTTGCATCTGATAAAGTTGAACATCGTCCACAAAAGTTGATGGCATATTACATGTGTTAGTTTTTAAAGTGTCACTGGGCTCTTTTGTTGTTGGAAATTGTTTTATTTTCACAGAATTAGAACACATGTGGCTGTTGAAGTGCACTGCAGCTTGGACTGGCTTCCTAATATCAACAGCATCTTGTGTCTGCTTCTAAAAGTAATAAAACCCAGATTTTTTTTTTCTCTTTCTCTCTCTAGAATAGGAAATGAAAAGCTTACTGATCATCAGGGGTGCCATTTTAGGTTTGATTGTGTGTGTGTGTGTGTGTGTGTGTGTGTGTGTGTGTTCGTGCACGTGTGGCAGGGAATGGGTTAGAGAGTTTCACACAGCAAGGATCTAAGAATTGTTCCTGGAATTGTATTCAAGATTTAATTGAAGTTCAACATTAGAAGCAAAAATGGGCTCGCCCCCATGAATGCATCACATGCAGCCTCAGACAAGGGAAAGAGTTGTCCCTACATGTTTGCTCTGTTTCACTGCTCTCTCTTCTCTGTACCCGGACCCCACTTTTCAGCCACGACAAGCTCCTAAAGAGCACCCTGGATTCAGCGCTTTGACAGAGACGCTAGGAAACCAAAGCTTTTCTTTGCAAGCCCGTGTTTGCCTATCCTACTGGGTCGATATTTGCACACTTTGCCCAGAAGAGGGGTGGGCGGCTGCCTTTTTGGGGGCAGGGATGATTCCAAGAGTTACTCTTGGGAATGGGGATGGACATTCTCTCCGCCACCCCCGCCAGTGCTTGCTTAGGCTAATGGAGGTCCTGCCATTCACTCTCCCATTGCGCTGGGATACGGGACAAACATTCCCCGGTGACCCTTGGCATGCAGGTTCCCTCTTCAGGACATCATTAAAGAGCTTCCCTGCGCTTGTCTGACATCAATTGAAAAAGCTTCTCTTGCAGACTCCCCCCCTCCACGCCGCAACCATCCATTTTTTCTCTTTTAAAAAAAGCTCTATCCAGGCAGGAAAATCCTTTGGTTGCGGCTGCAGAAGGGAAGAAAGGTACCGCTCTGCAGGTAGCTCCAAAGGGCTCTTGCCAAGGAGGAACCAGTCCTGATCCCTTGGCAGAGCCGGCCTCTTCGACTGCAGCTCTCTTTGGCCTGCGGTGTCCACTCTGGCACGGCCTCTGCCTGTCGCTTCTCATCAGCCCAGTCCGCCGGACATCCCTCCTCAAAGCCCCCTAATCCGGTTATCTCTCGGGTGATAAATATTAATGCCCCCACCCCACCGCAGTCCTGGAGCTCTGCGCTGGCCCCAGAGGAACAACTCCCACTGGAATAACTAAGATATCAGCGCCGTCGCCAGTCCTCCCAGCTGCTCCATGAACGGCCCCACCAAGGCCGGTGAATGGCCCACTGCAAAAGATGACTGGGGCCCCCCCTCGTCCATGCTCGACTTGCTGGCCGATCTCACCGAGGAGGATGCGCCCCAAGCCAAGGCGCCCTGCTTGGATCTCTATGCTTTCCCCTCTGCCTCTGCGGCGCCCTTCGGCCAGAGAGCTTTCCCCGCCGCTTCTGCTGTTGTGGCTGCTGCTGGGGGACCACTCGGCTTGGAGGATGGAGACCTCGAGGAGGGAGAGGAGGAGGAGGAGGAGGAGGAGGATGAAGAAGAAGATGAGGGACGCCTGAGGAGGAAGGGTACTTTCCGGGGCAGAACCAAGAGAAAGCGGATCATCACGCGCACACAGCGCCAGGCGGCCAATGTCCGGGAGAGAAAGAGGATGTTCAACCTCAATGAAGCCTTTGACCAGCTGAGGAAGAAGGTGCCCACTTTCGCCTACGAGAAGCGCCTCTCGAGGATTGAGACGCTGCGCTTAGCCATAGTCTACATTTCCTTCATGACTGAGCTGCTGGGGAGCTGCAAGGCCAGCTAGGGAGGCAGCAGGGCGAGAGAGGTGGCTCCATCCAGGAATGGAGAGAAAGGCGCAGCGGAGGTCCAAGGGCGCACGGGCTGGAAGGTGCAGATCCGAGCATATCTTCCCAGAAGGACAATGCAGCTAGCATGGAGACAGCTCCTGAGTGGAATATCTTGTCTACTCCCCCCCACCCCTTCCACCCACTTTTAAAAAAAAAGATTGCAGTTAATCGATCCAGTGCAACTGGCATCTGGCAATATCAGGAGAGGCTGTTCCCTGGTTGAGGACTTCTCTGTTCCTCCCAAGTGATTCCTCTGTGGCTTCTTTTTTAAAAGACTGGGCTATCTGAAGTGCCAATGGCAACTAGCAAGAAGTTTAACAAAAAAGAGGAAATATGCTGTTTGGACATAATGGGTGATTGGGGGCACTCTTTCTTCCTTGAGCCCCACCAGGATCTCTTTCTGGAGAAACTGCAAAGACAGGGGTTTAGGATGTTTGGGATGAAAGGAGTACAGGGTGGAAAAGATGTGGGAACCACCCAATGTTGGGGAGACCCCAAAGTAAATCAAGGTGAAGGAGGCGAAAGGAAGAAAGTGCATGCCTCGAAAAGGAGGTTGTGGCTGAGCAACTGAGCTCAGAGAATCTGATCGGAATGTCCCAGTTGAATGGGTATTGTGTGTAGAAGGGGATGCTGATAAGGACCAAAACAAGGCTTGATGTTAAATGCTTCCTTGGTTTCGCAAATGTGCTTTGGAGCACACTATTTGCATTAGCTCTGTGTGTGTGTGTGGGGGGGTAATTAGGGGCATCAGAGCAGATGCAGAAGGGGAACTTAACCCCATCTTTATTTTTAGTAGGGAAGTAAATAGGAGGAGCAGTCTGGGGCCAAAGACATTTTGAGCCCTACAGTCCTTCTTCGTCTTTCTCTCTCGTTTTGTTTTTGTTTTGTTTTTGTATATCGAGAGTCAAAGAGAAAGGAGGACGACTGGAGTGGGGTGGAATGTGTCATGGAGACACACTTTAATTTTCACTTTAGCAACAAGAGGCAGGTAAGGCAATTTTGGAAAGGTTTCTGGGAAAGGGATACTGCAGCCCCAGAAGCAAAATGAAGCATACACTACCCTTTCCCGCTCCTCTTCCTCCTTCCTAATGAAACATTGAATTTCGACATATGCAGCATGAAAAAAAAAAATGTAACCTATGTTTTGATCAACTGCGTTATGGTATTAGTGATATGAGATTCTCCCCTTGACCTCCTCTCCAGCCCTACAAACACAAGAGGGTTCAAATTTCCAGTGCGTGTGAAAGCTGAGTGGGAACCCTGTCCACACACCCCATGTAATGATCAGCAATTGGTAGAATATGAGTAGATTTGCATGGATCTCATCTGGTTTGGTTTGGTTTGGGGTTTGGTACATGCATCAGGAAGCACCTTGTACACTAGTTCCCCACTTGTGTGCTTCAGCCAAAGCAAAAACTGACACTCAGACCACCCATCTCACATAATGGGGTATATATATTTTTTCTGATGCAGTGGCTGATGTCTTGTGTCAGAAAATATATCATGTGAAGTGGTTCTTAATCCCTGTGACTTCAGATGTGTTTCCAAGTACTTTGCCTGAACTGCATTGGCTGTAACTTTATATATCTGCCTGTGCACACTGCAGTAATTGGTGCCTTTTCTTTCTATTTGTCTCCACTGTGCTTGGCAATGCTGAAGAAAGGAGTAACTAAAATTATGGGAGTTAAGGAAAGGCTTCAATTTGGGAACTTCTTAGCTTAGAAAAAAGATGAGCAAGAGGTGAATAAAATTATGTATGGTGTAAAGAAAAAGAACTGACTGTACCATCATAGTAGAACTTGGAGCTATCCAATGAAGGTGAGTGGTGGAAGATTCAGGACAGACAAAAAGAATCACCTCGGAGAATGCTCAGAGCAAAACTATGGCATTTGCTATGGCAAGATATGGCGATGGGCCCCACTTTGGATGGCTTTAAAAGGAGGTTGGACACATCCATAGAGGAGAAGTCTTTCCATGGTTGCAAGTCCTGATGTCTGTATATTATCATCAGTGCCTTAACACCCATTCCTGGGGAATATGAGTAGGAGGGTGGTACGTTATATAAATCAGGCATGGTAGCTTTTGGTCCTCTGGATTATTTGGTATGCAACTTCCATTGTTCCTCACTATATGCTGATTAGGGCAGCTGAGAGTTGTAGATCAAAACATCTGAGAAAGAGAGGGCTGTGATCTGATGCAAGAGGGCTTTTATATTCTATGAAGGTCATTCATAAAGTAGTATATAGTTTGTGGAGTTTGCTGCAGAACTACACCAAGAAAGACATCCTGGTATTTCTGATATATAAGTAACTGAGATCAGAATCTGGTCCTAGTAATTCTTTATATGAATATTATAGTTTTAGTCAATTCTAGCAATAATGTTTTATTGTTGCTCCTCCTTATGCATTTACAATAGCATATACATTTGTGTTCCTTTTATAAATTGTCCCCTGTTTTTCATTATCCATCTTAATACATCTGTTCTTAGGGTTATTTGGATGCCTTTTCCCACAGAGAGTGACTTAGAGTTTCAACCTTATGATGAAACTGTACAATTTCACATATCAGAGCACTTGCTATAAAAGAGGGAAAGGAGCTAACAGCACAGAATAAATCCAATGATCAATCCTTGTCCACCCAACGATTGGATTATGTTTCATCCTGTCATTATGAGAATGACTCATGCAGAGACAGACAATTCTTTAAAAGATGTGGGTCCACTGTTATTTTATATCAGTCATATAACAAGCTCAGTGGTGTCTCCAGAACTGTGTAAAATTGGAATGCACAAAAGCCAACCACTTTAAATGAAGAACTTCATAATGCAAGCAGAATTCTGCCAGATAATGCAAAAGTTGCTGGATTTCCCTTCATAGAACATGCCCAAGTCATTTTCCTTTTTACTCTGACAAAATTTGACAAGGCAGGGAGCACTCCATGTCCATGCTTCACCACCCCAAATTCATGGGATTCTGAGTATATAAACAATTGCTATGATATTATATTTCGAAGTTAGAGCTTTACAATGGAGCAAGCATGTAGTGCCAGGCATTAACCAAAAGACAGACCCACAAAATTGTTAAATCCCTACTGAAAATAAGTAAATATGCTGGTCATGTAGCAGCTTAGCTTTTGGAAAGGGTCTTCCTATAAACCAAACATCCACTTCAGGAGGTTGATTTGCTCCTCTTGCTAGGTGATTTTCTGAATCAAACGAAGGCTCTGGTAAATGCATATGCATGTCCTATGTGTGGGCAAGACTGTGAGGGAAGCCCACAGAGCGATGAAAGTTGGCTGGGATGAATGTGAGTGTTTTCAATTCAGCTTTCAAGTTCAAAATCTGAAAGAGGTATTATCGAAACCAGGGCAGGAAACAGTGTTGCAATAAGGACATGAGGAGAGCCATGCTGGATCAGACAGTGAGGCTTCGTCGCTGGGGATCTCATGCTCAGAGAATGAGTCTGCCTCCTTATCCCTCACCCCAACCCCTCAGGTCTGCCAGTTGCTTGCCCCGGCTGCTGCTGCTGCAGCCAATCTAATTACAGAGCCACCAGTTGTCCCAAGTTCAGTTGCCATGTGGAGGGACTTGGGGACAGGGTATTGCAGCATATGGGGATGGGAAGATTAACCTTTCCCTCCCTAGCTGCAATCCTCCATAAAAATAGCCCACCACACGGGAATTAAGAGCAGGAAAAAGCCTGTAATGGACCCTGGCTCTCCTAAATAGATTTGGGACCAAGGATCCATGGACCAGAGTCAAGTAGCTCCCCTCATGCCAAATTAAGAATGAAGAGAATTTTATTTTGTCTGAATTTTAACCCTTAGCCTGACCTAATTCTCACTTACTGGATGAACACAAGTTGGAACACAGTTATCCTCTGGGCTGGGCACTATTTTTGAATTCTAGGCTCAAATATTGCAAAGATGCATACCTGAGGCAACGTTGTGTACAGGAGTGCGTACAAAATATGTAGGTTTGTGGCAAATTGCATACGAAAGTAAAAGTAAACATTGTATGATTTTTAAAATATCTGATACTAAAATTGGATAGAATGGCTGTGAATGGACAGCCATCTGAGAGAGAAGGCTCAACCTGAGCCCTGCACTGAGCCAGAGGTTGGACTCAATGGTCCACTGACCCCTTCCAGCGCTACTACTTTATGCTTTTATGAATTCATACAAAACAGGAATGAACCAGATATAGATGGATTCTTATATCCTTCTTCTAAACATTTTTGCTTCATAGTAAGTCCTATAGATAAGCAATCCTATTGCAAAATAAGTATTGGAATCCCTTGCCCCTGTTCAGGTGATGCTTCTACCTAAGATGCAGATTCAAGCTCAGAGAGGAGGGGCAGGAATGAGACACTTGATGGCAATTTGTTGAAGGCATTCCCTGTATATAAACCTGGCTAGTTCTGTGTAGCCTTTGTAGAAAACAGCAGATCACAACCCTAGAAATCTTCCAGACTTCCCAAGAGTCTTGGGAAGACTTCCAGAGTCTTCTGGAAGTCTTGGGAACTGAGGCATAGTGGGAGGCTCTTGTTAAGAACTGGATCTCAGTTGAGCTGAGCCCTCAGTTCATGTTCTCTTCATCTGGAGAGGCAGCCTGGGATTTCTTGACAGCCTGTGTTTGCATATATGTGCATCACCTCTGAAAGAATTGTGAGCTCATGAAGGGAATTTCTTTAGTAAAAGGCCTTTATGGTGACTCTTGTCTTGATACTGGAGACCAGAGCAGAGCTTGAATTCAGTTCAGCATTGAACTGAAAGGGGCATATTTCAGAGTAGACATGAATAGAAGTGGTGTCTCAGGTTCTAAAACTGATTAGATTAGTAAATTTCCATGTGCAGGGTGACAAAGGTGGTGTTAGGAGATGGTCCACTGAGCCCTGAATTTTGGGGAGGCCATCTGCCCCACCACCCTGCTACCCTTGGAAACTTGCTTAATTAGATG